CACACACACACACACACACACACACACACACACACACACACACACACACATTACCGCGTTACCGGTTCGTCCAGTCGGTTATCCCGGCTAACGCCGGGCCTCATCCTTCTGTGGCAAAGTGTAGTAGAATTAAACACCCATCAAGGATACAGCTGTTAGACAGCCCAAGTCTTGGCGGTACTCACGAATGTTTCGAGTTCTGGTAACGCCATTATCAGACGTCGTATCAATTTTCCTTTTTTTCTTTACGGAGGCATCATAAGTTGAGAATTCTGAATTACTGGCGATCGATTAAGTGCCATCGCAAACGATATCGAACAAAGAGGGTCCCTCATTGAGTCACAAACCTTGCCGGCTAGTGGTCATAATCTAATAGCAAGACATGAACAAAATTTTTATCTGCTTATCGAAGTGAGGCTAATGGGCCCCTATCACTGTCCTTACCACTCGTTTTAGTCACCCTACTCATCCCATCCCGTCTTGTTGAATGAAACATATCAAAGAGTCAATTTCTTATTGTTGAGGATACCAAATCCGTTAAGATTTGATTTTTAAGTGGCTCGTGCTCTCTGAGGCCCCTAATCAGACCTTATCAGTTGCTATCTGTTCCTGTCCCAGAGTACCCACGACCACATCACATCCTACATCATACAATGCCTAGGTTCCACCATTGACACGAGGGATATCGCAAACCAAAGAGCTCTAGCCTTCTAGGTTCTTCAACAGCCCTTGTTCGCTTGTTATTAGTCCTTGCCACCAACCAACGGTCCCTTTACATTCCACACCGCCTCCTAAAGTGCTCCACTGGTAGTAGGGGAGCACTGCGGCTGCGGCTTCCTCCTTCGAGGTCGCTTTATCAGCTATCTCCGATTATATCACCTCTACTACTTATCGTCAGTGTTTCCGTCATGCGCCTGTACTTCTACCAAATTTCAGCGCTCTAGGTCCGCAGGATCAGAAGTTATGAATTCGTGGACGAACACACACACACACCGACACACTCATCGAATTATACAGGGTGGCTGAAAAGTATAGGACGCCACATTTGTAAGCGTAACTTCGAAGATATAGGACGGATAGACAAATCTACCGTATTGTGGATTAGAGTAGAGCTGTTTGATCACTTTGGACAGAAAGCATTCGAAGTTCGGTTCTTTGGCTTTAACATAGGCGTCCTTGTGAAGAGGAAGGTCAGACATACCCGGCTCGGTACCCGGAGAAATGCTCCGCGACTACGGCTTTGGTCAGTGTTAAGGCATGCGAAGAGGCCCAATCTTGTTGATGGACAAAAGATCGGTCACCGGAGTGCTCACTAAATAAGATTGAAAGGGGTGTCCATCAAAAGAACCTTTCAGTAAAACTCGGAGTCGATTTTCACATTTTTGTCGATGTAGTCAAATTTGTTTTCCATTCTGATGTCAACATGGCCCAAATGACCACACTTTCGGGAGATAGTCGGCTATGCCCTCAACGACGTTTTGGGGACGCGTCGTCAGCTTTCGGCAATGACTGTCCCTGGTTTCGACCAATTGAAAAAGTTCTACGGTGAAAACTTTCTCATCAGTCACCAGAGAGATCAGATCACCTCAGAGATGCGGCCCTCCTGGAGCTCTCGAAAAAGTTTTTGGCATTTCATCAGCCAACTTTGTTTGGACTGCTACGAGACAAACTGTCCTCGACAGGGTCTACAACTGTTCCACTTTAGGCAACATTCCACTATCTTCTGGTCAGTTTGAAGGCTGATATGGAGCTGGGAAGCAATCCGATTCGTGCGGGCTCCATCTTCTTATAATGTCACGAATATTTGTAGGTTCACTGTTTCCGGTCGTCTACCTTTTCGCATCTTATAGGCTTGTCCTCGAGCTCTGAGATCAGCAGAGATATTTCGAAAGGTTGAAAAGGGAACGCCGAGTTGTTCGCGATAACACAACTCCCGAAACTTTTCCTGAACAACTTCTCGATGATGGATTGATGCGCAGGAACATTTGAAGCAATGATTCAGAAGGACGGTCAAACGAATGATTATATTCTTGCGCATCTCCTGTGCTTTCCAAATTCTCAAAACATTTTAAAAGTACCCACTGGCAAAGTATGACTATAGCCAGAAAGCATCCTTCTCCGTTGAAAGTAATCATTGATCTGTGGAGCAGCTATCATATTCCGAAATGAACACAAGGTAGAGTCTTGCATTCCACATGTTTTACTGACCAGTCGGATCGCCCGGCTAACGTCGGGCTCTGCTCCTTTCCGTGAAGTTGGTTTGCTGCCACACCCTCCCAAATTTGGATGCTTCAATGCAGGAGAACAGGAATTATAAATTTCCGGCCAAATACCCAGACACGCCTTGGAGCGTCATGAGCGGAATCCTACTCAACTCATATGTGTTTGAGTGACTTTGTCCATTCTGCCCTTTCCAATTGGCAATTTTTGCGCACGCCTCTTCCCCTTTGGGGAAAGTCTAGTTTGCCACCTGCCATCAATGTTTCCATTCTGCCGCGTGTAATCTTACCGAATTGAAACGCTCAATTTCCAATTAGGAGATGTTATGAGTTTCCAGTCAAAGATACACCGACACACACACCGTTACACGCACACACTATCATTACCCCTTCCCTTTTCTTCTCAAAAAAAAGTAGTGAGTAGTAGCTCTACATCGAGTAGTGCAAACCGAGACTGGTCAATATCGGTTGCCGTTACTGATCGCTGCATTTACAACTATCTTCCCTCTACGTCTCTTCAACGTCCTCGAAGTAAGAGAATCGCTTCGCTTAGAGAAAGAAAGTGGCCACTGATCGGTCATTCACACAACAGACTGGTATAGGAAGTCTTTATATCGACCAACATCCCTACAGCGTAAATCTTAACACAGGATTTCCCTGAAGGGAATAAAGCTGTGATTGACGGTGCATAATGTGGAAAGCCTCTGAACAGGACTGTCGGCTTCGGACTCTGCACTAGTCACGTAGTCCAGTCCTGCCGCCTCTTCTCCTTCCAAATTTGAACGCCTTAACCCCGGAAGAATAATTTTCGCGCATGCCCAGCCCACACTAGTGCTGGTGCTCGCTCATGAATGAAGACGAGCGGTATAAGTAGTAAGTAAGTTTATGAAAATTTACCCCCTCTGTTCTTCAGTGAACTACTTCTTAGGTCCTGCTTGCAACACACGTGACTGGGGCACGGTACAGGGCGAAGAGGGGACAGACTAAGCTTGACATAATTGCCGACCCACTAGGAACTCGTACTGATTTCTGTCGGTCCTCCCAAAGTGGTGGCCCATCGATTCGCCACCATCAGCCACGAATCGCGAAATGCACGCCACCGTCCGGCCTCGAGAAAACGGTCCATGAATAAAGTGAGACTGAGAATGGATGTAGCGCAAACTATTCAGGAAGGGGCGATCTCACCAGGGGATGCTGTGAACTAACGCTCGGAGCCATACAACAGAAGAAACGCGAAATTGCCGCTAGGTTGGCAACAAATCCCTTGACGTTACTAACTGTATTGACTGATTGTTGGGTGATCCTAGGGCTCTTTTCAGGCTGAGCGAAACGTCAATTCGAACCCATTACGGAAAGCAAACTGCTACGGGCTCGAGGGTTTGCCTAAAGGCTCTTACAACGGAAGTAAGGGAGGATTCCACAGATGACCTGCATACGGCCCCCTCACACTGCACTACTCTGAAAACACAGTCTATCATACTGCCGATGGCGGCGATTTTAGTGAAACCTTCCTTCAAATCCTACACAAAAATCCTTTTCAGCACAGAATTGGAAAGCGATTTGTTCAAAATCTCTCGAAACATCTGGGATAATATTTATTCTTCCTTCATTTCCTCCTTAGCAGTGTTGTTATTGTTTTCTTCTCGATCCGGCGAGACTTCTCCCTGTAAAAAAAGACATCAGCAAAGACCCAACTGGCATTGAGTTTACAATATAAAGGAAAAATGATAATGGTTAGAGGGCATCGAGTTACACTCTAAACTGCACCTTCACATTCCAAGCCTACCTTTTCCATTATGAAAAACGTGAGTGTAATAAAATGATATAAATATCTGCTAGCCCTTAAGCTTTCGTCAAAGGCACAGTTCACGGCGAACATAGTTTCTTGGATTGGGAGCTCGTCTGAATACCCCTTCCAAACCACTTTGTGTTTGAAACCTCACATAACTCCCCTTTTTATTACTTTTTTCGTCGACAGGGACGCTCTAAAGAATCCAGCGATCCAATCCTCCGCACCCCTCCCCCCCTCCCCCCACGAGAGAAGTACCTGTTGGTACTTATTTTGAACTGTAATCAGAAACATTTGCCAAACACGCTTCCACAGCGTTGACAGTGCAGTCTGCAAGGAAGATGGATAAGGCCCAACCACAGTGGGCGCAAGTAAGGTGCAACAGATCACAGGTCCGTGGCACCTCATTTGTGCAACTATTCATCCTCTCTCGAACGGAGAATTGAGAAAGCGACCTTTTCGGACTAGCTTTTCAGCTATTGCTGATCCCCACTGATTGTATTTTTTACTGAAAGACGAGCCCTCCTCAGATATTCAAAGCAAATGTGAACTTCAAGCTGAAAAAAACTTCAACGATAGGCGGATGAAGCCGTCAAGTTGTCGGCTGCCATCGACGTTTTTTCGCCTATCATTGACTATCAGTGCTTCTGCACTTTGACTGGTTTTGAACTAACAAGCATGGAGCAGCAGTTCCAAGTCTTACATTTAGTTCTGCCATTTCGTTAGAGAGCGACGATTCGAACTAACCAATCTCTTGTCAGCTGCAGCTTCTGGCTCCACTACGCCAACTGAACTTGGAAGTCTTTCCGTAGACCGCACTGCTAGAATTGCTCCAATAGAGAAAGTGATGACAAAGCAATAGAAACCTTCGTGCAAGGATGAGAACATCCTTTGCTTGAGCTGAAACAGGAAGAAATACTAATTCTGATATGATGTTTCTGTGATTTATAGCGTGTTTAAAGGCTCCGTTGACGACAATTTGAGCCACAAAGCGGAAGTATTGGTTGAAAATAGTGCTTTGAAGGCCAAGTAAGCGAGAAAATCCCCGACCCTGCGAAAAAGAAGGTATTCCAAAAATAGCGAAGATGAGTATTGTACGAGATAGCCATGACCGGAATGGCACGGAAATGGCATTAGGACGAGATTTCAGATGTTGCAAATGCGCAAAGAGCTGCCTACATCAAGCCAAAACTGCCAGAATGATCTTTCAGTGTCTATATGAATCATGACAAGTTCTTTGAGCTTGTCCTACATGATTGCCCCTCGGGAACAGTGCGGCATGTACAATGCCGTTAAGACTATTCGTCTTTGGTGTAGCATACAACCGATACAATCTTTGAGCCCTTATAAAACCCTAATTGAGTTGTTTCTCGATCTGACAGCGACAAACAGATTACAGGTGGGCCACAGAATTATCTCAGGGGTACATATCAGGAATCTCTTTTATCGCAAACTGTGCTTTCAAAGTTTCTTCGTATATATATATTCGCAGAACATAGCAGTTTTTGAACGCATGAAATCCGTGCTTCATATTCACCTGCATCGGACGAAGCAGTCCTCCTAGCCCTCCAATGCACATGCTAAGTCGAAACAACTTCCAAATAGTTTGAGGTTTTCCCGAAGCGAATCCGCAAAACCTGGAAGTGTCTAAATGAAAAACTCTCCACGTAAGCCACCTTCGAGTGCTCATTCATATAGTAATGTCAGTGGCATTGCTGAATTCTAACAGCAAACCGTTCTCTTTCAAGCATCCTGCACCGCACAAAAATCTACGGTTTGTTTGCGCATGTCTTCAGTATTTAAACATTTATGTGTGTATATATGTCTGTCTGTCTGTCTGTCTGTCTGTCCGTCTGTCTCTGTCTGTCTGTCTGTCTGTCTGTCTATCTGTCTGTNTCTGTATGTATGTATGTATGTATGTATGTATGTATGTATAAATGTATAAATGCCTAAATATAGTATGTGAAAATTGAATTTTTTTGAAGGTATCTTGAACAGAAAGGGGCGAACTGTGCTTGCTCCTATTTTTTCACCTGTAATAGCCCTTACAATTACCAAAAGCGAAGTCAATTACGGTAGTCTACTGCAGAGCGATACGACTTTCTTGATCAATATATAACATCAAATCAACGCTAACAAAAGCAGAAGAACAAGTTGTTATTCTTATTGAAAACCAAAATAATTCGAGAATAGAGGGTCACTTACATCATAACCAGAGCTATTGCCAGTACCTTTCCAGTCATCAAAATTAGACGTTCAATTTGACCGACCTGAAAAGGTATAATTTTCTCGGCTGCACTGAAGTGAGTTACGAATTGGCATTAAAATTCACAGAAGACTTCCGATGTTGAAGCAGAGAGAAGCGCACTACTCCCGGAATTTTTGGGAGCATTATCAGTTCAATTCTACAAGATCATAGCAATTTTCACGCTTTTCGACTTACTCATTGACTTGCGTGGAGCAGCAAAAGAATAAAGATAAAAAATAGCTGTTGCAATCTAATGAGAAAGGTTGGAAAGCAGTGTGGTTACTGACTGAGCCAGCTTGTGATTTACAGATCTCAGAAAGCAGCAGATTGGAAAGCTGGGTAACGCAGCAAATATCATGAACTCCGTTTGCCGGTTAACCAGCTTACTGCAATCGCCTTGGATTTTCTAACTGGATCTATTGAACTCTGTTCATATTCAAAAATTCAAATGGCAAATCAGAATATTTCCCCAAGACCTTACAACCTCTGGGCCCTCTCATGAACTTTCTTTATACGCGAGTGATAAGTGCTGTTACGGAGAAAATTTGGTATTTCATGTATTAAAAAACACCGTATCTACCCATGCCTAGTATAATAGTTTATACAACAGTTCTCCGAAAGTTCTCAGATTAGTTTAGGGAGGCGAGGGAGGCAGTCCACCACATCTCTGCCAACAGTGGTGGAGATCCTCTCTGTTCGTATTTTCTCGGATTGAAAATCTGGATGAAGCAGTTACTTTGTCCGATGCAGTTCCAGAATGAATTCCCAAGCGAGGTCACCATGATGTTCGAAAACCTCAATTACATTCCACAGGGATGAAAGCTATTGGTCTTATAAGTGGTTTCTTCAGGGTGGACTTTTTGAAGCCTATTTCGTGGGTTGCAGAACTATTCGCTCAACCCCTCCCCACATAGACTTTGTTGGAGCAGCACAGGAACCGTCCTTACCGTGTGTGTCATCTGGAAACTGAGTAACCCGTCGGTATTTAACCTCTCCTATCCTTGCGGATTTTATTATGCACCATAGGTTACGAGCCAAACTACCTTCATTGAATTATCCTAATAAAGCATAATCTGACCTGCTCCAACTGATGATAGACGATGGCTCCAGCTGATTTGTCTGACATGTCGAGGTCAATGGGAAGATTCAGCGACCAAATATAACCATGCATCCAAACACTGCTGAATAAAAAATCGAATATGTGAGCGGTAATGAAGATGGCCAGGGCCAGCCGGTAACCGATGGAGAGAATTCGTCGCACACGGCGTTCCATCTGGCTAAGACTTGTCTCATCCTCAGGCTCGAGTATTCGGATTCGCGATAATCGGTCCATCTGCAACAGCATATCCTCATAGAATGTCGCCATTGTCATAATGCATGCACGAAACACGATTTCTCTAACAAATTTCCAGCTATCTGATGGAAAGCACTCACAGAACAACTTTGAAAACAGCCATTATTCTGGATTAGTTATAACTCTCTGACAGGGACCTGCAGAAGTAAATCAGAATCCCATCGGGCCACTGTTCAGCTGATACATATAGGAAAGCATCATCGAATAGAGAGCAATTAAGCTGAACATGAAGTTGCCGCAGCTGAGATGATGGTTCGGGCTCAATACAGAGAGAAAAGAAAAAGTTGCTTGTGGGCTTTCTCAAAAATTCATCAGAAATGACCAGCCAGTAAGTATCTGTTAATAGCTATAGTTTTATAGCATTCTACTATAACGGGCCGAGTTTGTTGATATGCCGGTCTACATATGTGAGCGTGTGTCGGTGCGTGTGGATGGGGGTAGGTATTTGACCGGAACTTCAAAATACCGGTTCTTGCGGACCCATAGCGTTCAAATTTTGTAAAAGTGCAGGCGACAGCATTAGAATACTGGCGGCAGGTAGCGAAAATATAAATTTGGATCTAGAAAGATCAATGGGTACGAATACAGGAGACTGGATCAAGGCACTAGTGGTATAAGCTAGAAAGTAACTGAACTAAATGCCAGTTGCGGGGGGCGCACTGGAGGTCAGGAGGCGGAGCGGGCGTAAAATGAGCGTTATCCGAGTATACTTGCACAGTCTTTCTGAATAGACAGGGGAATGAAACAAGTTACTCAAACCCACATGAATTGAGCAGAACTCTGCCCATGTGGGGCGAGGCTCTCATAAGTGTGTCGGGTGTGTATGTGGCTAGAAATTCACAACCCTTTGTCTCCTCTACCATAACGTCAAAATTTGGGAGGAACATGGGAGGCAGGCCAACTGACTCGGATAGGAAGAGAGCTCGGCATTGGCCGGGTGATCTGGATGTTACCTAACAATCCCAACGAGGAGTGTCCAATATTCCCTATCAAACGAGAAAAACGAAAAGCCCAACTGAGAAAGCATTGGCGTTGGAATCGCTGGAATGTGTGGATTAGTTCACAAAATGGATATTTGTGCAGACGCTTAATTTTACCGCTTACGATTTTCTTTTGAGTCGATGTTCAAGCAGGTCTTGGAGATAGCTTCCTCTCTCAACGGAAATGTATTAAGTTGTCCCATGAAAATATTAGCTTCTTACTGAAATATTCATAGAATCCTCATTGCTCTTATTCAAAACAACGCTATTGTAAATATACCGGAGCCACATTTCATCTATATTTCTGTTTATGTATGTTCCATAATCCGGGAAGAAATCCACGAAGAAAGAAAGGCACTGGCGTCTGTGTGTGTGTATGTGAGGTGCATTTGTGTGTCTGTCTGCCTTTCCAAGTTTCTTTCTATGTGTCCACCTTGCTGTCTGTCAGTCACGAAATTAAATATTACTGGAAGAGAAGAAGCTTATGGAAGGTTAGGCAAAGATCGGGTTGGGTTGGACTTAGAAGAAGATCAACAGAGCATGTGAGGCCAGCGGAAGTCCGAGAGATCCACTGAAGGCGGTCAGGATTATCAATATCAGAACTTCCTAATCAACCACACACGAAGGCGAGTCGTGCACCGAAACGAGTGATGAAAAGAGATATTCTACAATTCATATTCCTTCGTTAGTATAGCCCACTGAAATATGAGCAGAGGAAAAGAATTGGTCAACATATGAAACGACCGATCCATAGTGAAGGTGAGCGAACCATCTTCACAGTATGCTGTATTTCCCACGAAAACTCAAAACTCGATTTAACCAACTGAGCTGAGCTCTAACTCACATCTTTGAGAAGTGAAGCTCAAATCACAATATTCAAAGTTCTGCTTTAGAGGTACAGTTCACGATAATCTTGAGGTGCCCTTTCAAGTTGATAAGCGAAAGTGTTGACGTAGAGGAGTAAATCGGAGGCGAAGGGAGCGAGAAAATTCGTCTACTTTAGGGCTTTTTAAAAGTAGTGGAAGTATAGGTTGTGCAAGATCACTGCAACAGGAATGGCATGTAAGAGATGACTATATCAAGCCGACATTGTCCGGGACTGCCTTTCACTGTCGCCATGGGCCATGAAAAGTTGTTAGAACATCCTACATGGGAGTCACTTGAGATAGTGCAGCCTCTACAAAGCCTTTGAAACTCGCCCACGATGGGTGTGAAATTCACGCGATACAATCTCTGGCGCCTTATTGTGTCCTATCCAGGACGTTTTTCGACGATATAACGGTAGGTATGGTTCAAGGGAGAGCTTCGAATTCACGCTATAGGGGAATCTCAGAAACCCAGAAGCAAAGGGTGAATACACATTCATCCATGATGGGATGAGCAGGCACCATAGCTGGCGGAGATAAGACCACAAATTCATATTGAGGGATAAAGGATGAAGTCTTGACGTGTCTTTTTCGCTATTCGAGCCCGTCTTGGGACGCGCCCCGTATTCGATTTTATTCAGAATCTCCGGGGATTTTATTCGGATTATGATTGCGTAAGTGGCCTACGGAATGATTTCCGGTGGCCAGCTCATCCCCGAATCAGTGGTTTATCCTCTCTGTCGAGTCTGTACCCACTAACCAACCCCGAAGGAATGGCAGTTTTGATTGGCCAAAGCTGGTACCGAACCATAATTCGATCTCAGGAGTGACCGCGGGTGATAATGCGCCACTTGACACCACACCACCTCCGTCTCAAGGAAAAACCTACAGGCAGATGTACCCAACGAATCTATAATGAAATTCAAAAACTTCTACAACAGCAAAGTGTGGGAAAATGTGATTAGTTGCCACTGTAGGAAAAGGCAAATTCTCGTTGAAGGTAAGTAATGCATCAATGAGGGCTGAAGTGAAATAGAAAATATATAAACAAACCTAAAAAGCCCCTTAAAAAACGTTCCGGATTTTGAGAAAATTGGGTCGGAGCAAACTAAATAAGGAAGGTCAAACCTGCATGGTATTTGCAGTTAGTATTGCAGTGGGCGGAGCTCAAATCCAAAAAGCAGAATCAGTATCGTACTAGAGTGGGGAAAAAGCACGTCGGAGTTAGCAAATAACGAAAGGTTATCAATTGGTAATAAGGTCAAGTGAGCTATATTTCTGTTTTTGAGCGCTTTTAAGCCCAGGACGGATATCTATGAATGCTCTAGCTTTGCGTATTTAGGTTGAGAAGTCAAATAATTAACGATCAGGCTCTAGAGCTGAGGACAAGGAAACGCACGGTGTGTGGTGTATTTGAGAATATCGAGGTAGTAGTGAAGAGAACGAAGAGCATCCGGCACATTTTCGAAACCGCTGTTCTTCCTGCTTTGATGTACGCCTCGGAGACTAGGACTCTAGAGAAGTCGGGTTATTAGGCAGTCAGCACGCTGTGGGATGGACAATGTTCGGAATTCCCCGCACGCACGCTAGTGCAGAATGGAATCCGGAAATTCGAGCTCCGTCAACGAACAAAGTTCAGGGATGCCATTGCTCACGCCAAAGAGTCGAAGATCAGGTGGGACGGACACGTTATGCGACATTGTGATGACCGCTAGGCAAGAGCGATTGGTGACTGGATGCCTCGGGACTTCAAACGAACGCCAAAACGGCTGTCAGTGCGATGGCCAGACTTCTCCATGAAAGCTCTGACGAAAGCTCTGAACGAAAAAATGCTATGGTTTGCCTAAATCCATCGATCGAGGACGATCCACTGAACCACCCTGGCTCGTGACTGGGACGGATGGGGACATTACTGTGCCCACTCGAGCGAAGCGATGAACGACAGGACGGTAGGTAATATAGGTGATTCAGAAGTGTTTCAAATTGTGCAATTTCGCTATTGCGATCATTTGATATCAATAGCGATAACTATCGTCTCAGTTTGCAATCGACCTACAGGAATAATGTTCAATGAGTCAATAATGAAATAAGAGAAGGAGGCGGCGTAGTGGCAAGTGGCGCACTATCTCACACGCATGGTCAGGGGCTCTAATCTCAGATCGATATCCGCCTAGGTCAACCAAGCCTTTCATTTCTCCGGGGTCGGTTAACTGGTAGAAGGCTCGTATGGGAGAATAAAAGCACTGACTTGTACATCGGCTGGCCACTGCAAGTAATGGTACTATAGGCCACATACACCTCATTACGCCACTACGATTCTGAATGGAAGTCGAGTGCGGAGGCGCATCCCTCAGACAGGATTGATCAACGCCAAAAACTTCATCTTTAATCCTTTTATGAGTCACTAAATACCGCCGACATCGAATTTCGTCTAGTTGATTGCGTAAGTGGTCGAGTATAAACAGCTCAGCCTTCTAAATACATAGTTAATTCAAGTATAATGGAATTTTCACAGTGGAGATGTTCGGTCGATGCACAGGCACAGATATTTCTTCGATTTGTTGTGTTGGTGAGATATTACTAACACTTCCTATAGAATGCTAAAAAACGACGGGCTATGAAGAGGTATAGTAAGAAAACAGCATAAAGTTCCAAGCGATGAGGGTCAACCAATTTCCACCAACGTAGAGTTGTACTGCTGAATATGGCCTCTTCATTACTCAACAGACAGATGGGGGAGGATTGGCGGAGCTCAGTAAGAGACCTGGCCTCGGCAAAGAACAGACGAGAGACGTGTGAATGGCATTTCAATGCCGGCTTTGATGGATACATATATGTCTATGACGGATATGTGAGAATTCCCATAACCACCTAATCGGAGTCCAGTTAGGCGAGTGAAGAATGGGAATGTTTTTAGATCCTCCTACAAATTTCATTACTGCTTAGGTGAGCAGATAGTGAGATGAACGAATGTAGTTATTCACCAAAGTGCACTTTGTTGGAATGGCACACTTTCGAAGGACAAAGTCGTCCCTTGTTCTTTTCAGGTGTAAGACTAATTGGTTTCGGACTTCCCATCACTAGAATGTACTCGACTAGATGGAAAATCGACAGTCATCGACTGTTGATGGAAACTGTCGGTTCTTGAAAGAAGGACGCGGTGAAAATGTAG